CACCACTGGTCCAAAATGGAGCAAGGAAGAACAGCAGCAGGACCCAGCTGGGCCACTGCTCTGAGCCTCAGGTGGTGCTACCCGGTGTGGGGCTGGCACAGAGCAGCAGCAGCCACCCGAGACATCCTATAATCACCTGGAGACGCGTGGCCAGCACCAATCTGCCGCTCTGACACAGAACCTCCCAGGCTGCAGGGCTGTCACTGGCTGAAATGCATTTATTCCTGCACCTCATGCAAGGTGCTCTGATGCAGCAGCAAGTGGCGCCGGCCAGGAAACCAAAGCCCAGGGCTGAGGGGCTCAAGGCTCGGTGGCCCTTCCTGCTCGCTTTGCGGCTGCTGGCACAGAAGAAACAAGTGGTGCTGGGAGCACCATGCAGGAGGCAGGGCTGGGACGCAGCGCGCAGACCCACATGGTGGGGGATGGACACGGGTGGGCTGCAGGGCCATTCCAAACCCACAGGCTGCAGCCCGGCTCCTGCATCCCACCCGGTGTGGGTCTGACCTCGGGATGGGAGGCAGAGAGCTGGGAGCGCTCTGCTTCAGCCTTGCTGTCATTAATATGGTTTATGACATGAATATTTATAAGTGAGGATGTGATATTAAAAGCGTACACACATGAAATATTAATATGGCACATGTCATAACTGCAAACCCAACAGATAGGTGTGAATGATGGCACTGTAGCTCAGCCATCACCACTTCCACTGATAGGTCTGTAAATGGTAAATAATATTAACTAATTAATCTTCACAGCCCTCCTTGGAAGTTTTGAAGCAAGTATTTGCTTACAAACCATGTGCAGCTCCTCTCCCCAGCCCGCTGGGTGGGCAGCAGACCGACACGGAGCCGCTGCTCCTCACAGCACCGCCCCAGGTTGGGCTCTGCTGCTGGGAACGCTGTGCTCTGCACAGCCGTGCTCTCCAGAGGCTCATTTACGAAGCGATAGAAGCGACAAGGGAATAAAAGCCATCCTCATCCAGCAAAGCGCTAACAATAATGCTGCCTCCATTTATATCTTATGTCACACCTTTCATCCGAAGCTCTTACAGCACTCACTGCACTCAACAAATGCCAGCCCCGTGCGGATGCTTTTCCAAAGGCCCCGGGTCAGAGCCAGGAGGAGCTTCCCTGCAGCCCCCTCCTTCCAAAGGCTGCAGGCTCCATCCCAGATCCCCAGGCGCGGTGCAGCAGACACAGCTGTGCTCCGGAGGACCAAAGCAGGCAATGACTTCTCTATGTTTTAAACACTCTCCTCAAAACCGCTTAGCGATGTCTTTTTAAACGCACGTGACCTTGCTCTGCTTGAGAGAGACGGCGATAAACAAATAATTGCTGTGACTCTTAATTATATTTATATCTCATCTAGAAAAATGTCAATTAGAACTTCAGAGGTCAACTGCAAAACTGAGGTTCTGGCAGTCGGGCAACGCAAAAGGCAGTTTTACTCCTGAGAAAAGCACCCTCCCTGGCAGAGCCCAGCAGCGTCCCCTCTTCCTGCAGTGAGCACAGGGGCCGCACGCCGCCCCCCTGGGCAGCAGCACTGCCATGCAGTGCAGTCACTGAGCTCTGCGCTGGGCTGGGGCGATGCTCTGAGCGCCCACACGTGGGACACCGCGCATCGCGCAGACGGCCTGACTTTAATTTTGTTTAGTTTTCAGATTAAAGAAGCCCAAATCACATGCTGTCGCTTCCCTCCTCTCTCCCCTGCCATTCCTAACCACGTGAGAGTTAATTGATATGAAAATAACTCTGGGGGCTGCACGGCTTTGGAAAACATATAGCATTACATTTAATACTAGCAATTACGACTTGGGGGATTCAATCAGTCAAAATCTTTATTTTCCTTTCTGCACAGTCAAACTATGGAAATGCTGCAGCACAGCACACAGCCCTGCAGGCAGCACGGGGTATGGGCACTGCCCACAGAGAGCACCCCAGGGCACCACCTCTCCCCATCGCCTTCTCCTGACTAGTGTCCACCTACTTGCTTAACAGCCACAGAAAGAAAAGGGAGAAAGGGGTTCCTGAGCAAATTCATTCGTCAGGAGACACTGCACCCTGCTTTCCCTTCTGCTAAGAACCAAGGGTGGGGAGGAGATGAGCCTGCTCCCGCAGCCCTTGCTCAGCAGCCAGCAGCTCCACGCAGGGCACCCCCAGGGATGTGCCCCACACCTGTCTGTGCAGTGAAGGCAGAAGGGCATCATCATCTTGCAAGGTTCCCTCCAACCCCAAAGATCAATAACTAATGCTGAACTCAAGATTTTATCTGCTCTTTGCAAGGGTAACGAAATAACACCACCCTCGCTTCTACTTTCCAATTACTGAATCCTTTCAAGACTGACCCAGTAATTTTCAGCTCTGTGAAGTTTTAGGCAGCAAAAAAAGTGATAAAAGTGATCTTCCACAGCTCTTACAGAACTTGTGTGTTTTTTCTCCCTATACAGAAATGTAGAAGTACAGTGCAGGGCGCAGAAATTCCACATTACCAACCTTACCCAGAAACAAACGGAATCATAAAAGAAGGCAATGCAGACAGCGGTCTTCTACACGTCCACCCTTTGCATCCCACTGCTGAGGAGGGGCCTCGCAGCACCAGCCTGGTCCCACCAAGGTCAGACCGCTTTTCCAACAGAGCTCCAAGCAGCGAGCGCTGCTCCCACGGCGTGCGCACAAACTGCCAGCTGCCCATCCGCGTGGCGAGGCAGATCAGCAGGAGACGCAGCAGCTCTGCCTCTCACTTCCTCCACAGACCATGAAGGAGTGATGGGGTATCAGAAAACAAAAGGACATCACAGAGGAAGCAAAGTGGTTCGCTTGATAATATTTTAAAGGGTATGAAAGTTCTGTACTCCATTGCTCCATCAGCGTTTTATTTGAGGCCTCCCAAGGCATTACTAACACTGCTCAGCACTGAGCAGTTCTGGGATTGCCTCCATCTGTGGGGGTTACATGTGAGCACGGCCACACCAACTGCTACTGGAGCACACAGGCAGCACACATGGGACAGCCTTACACCAACAAACATCCTCCATTTCCTTCCAGCAGCAGAGAGTGAATTCTAATACTTTTCCTTGCCCACGTTGATCATTCTAGGCATACACTAACTACAGTAAACCACAGCGGATATTTTATCTGCCATTTCTCTTTCCCTTGGCTAATTTGACGATACAGATTGCAACCCACAAGTGGTTTTAAGAATTGCTATTAACGCTGCTGCTCGCATGCTACTGCATTTTAAACGTGTTTCCAACACAATCAGAATGTCACAATTTGTAAAATCCAGGGTGATTTTATAAACGATCGATGCCACAGAACCCGCTCCACGATGACAGCCTGCCCGGCAGCTCATTAGCCTGATTAGTGGCAGCTACCTGCACAGGGAAGGAGAAAATGTCTGGGGAGACAGGCTCAGCTCAGACACGGGGCCAAAGACGGCTGCGCCTCCTGAGTTGTTATGCTTGCTCCTTCCTCCCTCCGCTCCATGGCAGAGGTGAAGGTCAGAGCTCAGCCGCAGTGTCCCCCTGCTGCAGGGCTGGCTCCTTCCTGCAAGAACTCGGGCTGATCCCAGCAGGGCTGCCCTTGGGCTGTGAGTGACAAGGACCGCTGCTGACCAGGAAGCTGAAGCAGCCGTGGCTGAGACAACAGCTGTGTCAATTGAGCAAGCCCCTCCGAGAGCCACTGCGCAGACATGGCCGGAGCGTGAAGGCCGCAGGACAGACCTCCAGCTGTGCACCCCTGCGGGAGCCACAAGCTGTGCTGCCTCCAAACACGCTTCGTGAGAGCAGGAGGAGGCAGCACCCATCGGTCCCACTGCAAGGGAATGGTGGCACAGTGCTCCTCATGCCCCCGGGGCTCCCCAGCTGCCAGGGCTCTGCTGGAGCTCTGCTCCTCAGTGCGAGGCGCTCACCCGGACCGCAGCATCATTTATTTCTGCTGAAAGGAAAGGCCATAAAGCTGAAATAATCCTCAGCTCATTTTCACAGAGCTGTACAAGCAATAATGAAACCTTATCTGTCCACTGAAATATGTGGATGGGATTCATTTTCTGGTGATCTTGCTCACTGTTATCGACACATGATGAGCAGCCCCAAACTTCACAACCCCAGCGAAGGGCTCGGCACCCTGATATCCTGGTCTCAACCTACTACGTTACACCCAGCTCAACCCAACAGCCACCGCCCTGGTACAGCCTCTGCACATTCTGTGACACGGGTGGATCCAGGGAGAACAGCCATGGTCCTCAAGCTTTGCAAGCCCACTTGGTCACCTTTCCCACAACTACATGTAAATGATATCATCTGAGCCAGCAGCCAGGCCGCACTGACTCTGGGCCAGGGAACATCACTTCAGGTTCCCTGAAAAGCAGCCCCAGCCAACACCCCAGTGCCACCAGCACGTCTGGATCTCAGCACTTGTGTGCCACATGGCAACACCTGGTGTGAGCCCAGCACCACTGCAGGACCCCGAGCTGTGAGCGTGGCTCTACTAGGAGCACTGCAAACAGAGGGCAGGTGGGCAGCACAGCGACCAGCACTGCAGGGATGACGTGTGTGCAGGGAACAGGAGTGCACGCAGTTCTCCCAGCAGGGTTGGGGCTGACCCTGCTCGGATGCACATCCCACGGGGTGAATAGTGGAGACACAGAGACTTTCCCTCATTCTGATGCAGCTCCCTTCCCTGTGGCACACGCTGGCGCCGGGCTTCACCACCTCTGGGGACAGCACAGAGCCTGACAGTGATCCTCCCAAACGTAAGTCATCAGGCTGACCAGAGAAATCAGCTCCAATATGAAAACCCACATGGGACGTGGCATTACATGTCACACAGCCCTTCCTCCATACACCCACAGGACACAGGAAGCTGTCTCAAACATGAGGAGTTCTGCTGATTTAGCTCCACTGCATTTAGCCACATGGTCACCACGCTGACACTGATTTTGGCTGTGCTCAGCATGCCGACTCTGTCACAAAGGTGATGGCTGAGCTGCTGCTCTCTTACCTCTATGCCTGTTGGTCGTCTTGTCAAACATAAGCATGGCGTCCTCTACCTGCAAGACACAAGGGAGAGGCGTGCTTAACACACCCAGCTGGGTTGGCAGAGGCACACAAACACAGCGGGATGATGGCGGAGGCCTCGGCTCAGGCAGTGCAGGTGCATCACATCTCCTTCCTCTGGCTCAGAGTCAGCATCGCCCCTTGGAAACCTGCTGCTTCCAACCTGTGCGCTCGCTGACATCTGATCCTAAAGCAGAAAAGCGGACGTTAGCAGTACTGACACCCTACAAAGCCCAACGTCCGGGCGGCCCTTCCAGCTCGCCATGCCCCACCTCAGCCTCTTTCCCTTTTGTAGAGATAAAGGAGGGCTGAGGAATCATGGATGCAAATCACGCCCGTGACTTCTCCAAATCAGTGCTGCTGCCTTGGCTGTGAATTGGGAGGTTTCAAGGAGCGGGAGCAGGGCAAAATCTGGTCAGCCAAGAAAGGTATTCAGAGGGTTTCAAAGGGCCCTTTGAAAAGCTGGAGGAGAGGGCAGAGGGAGGGGGAGAAAGTTTAATTCGCATCAGGCCTGGCATTTCCACTTCAGAAGAGAGATGACTGATGAAACGTACTGAAGTGCAACCAAATTGCTTTCAACTTTCATTACTATTTGCATGATTTATTCCACCTCCGTTTAATCTGTGTAGCCACACCTAACATTTTACACTTATTTTAGAAGGTTGTTGGGCTGGGATTTCTCACCACATTTTGAACTGGTGCTCAGGGGCTGTGGGTCAGTCCTGCACGCTGCAGGAAAGGTCCTGCAAGCCCTGTGAAAAGACTTCCAGGCTTCCTGCTCCTTGTTTGAAACCAGGGGCTGATGAAAACCTGCACCATTGCTAAATTGCAGGAGACATCAGGGATGGTTATCTTTTTAAGGTGTTTTTCTTCCATTTGTTTTGTTTTGTTTTTTTTTCCCCACTGATTTCTATGAGATTTTCATGTATTTACACTCAGGATTTCTATAAACCACACACCTTAGAAGAGTTCACAACATCCTACATGCTCCCCTCACCTGTGCAATGCCACCACGGACTCCTCCTCCCATCCCAGCAGCCCCTGCCTGCTCTGTGCAGATGGCAAAACACAGCTCAAGCCTTTTAACTGCTGCATTAAAACACACTCCAGGATACAGCAAAAATGCAGAGCAGCAAAACCTTTTGTTATACCAGGGTGCATTTAGCAACCTGTCTCTGGTTAACTTGCTCTTGACTTCTCCAAAGTGCTTTGCAAAATGTGTTAGCAGCAGCTAGAGACAGACAGCAGCGTGCCTCCCTAAAGCCCACCATCCATGAGACCTAACAATGCTGATGCAATGGAAATCCAAACCACACTAAGCACAAAGCCACTTGTCCTGCTGCCTCTCATCACTTGGAGGAAGAAGATTCACAGGTCTGAGCAATACTGGGATGCTGATAAGGACGGCGCTCCGCCCACCACGAGCACTGATCTCCAAGTAAGGTTACATCTATACAGCAGATCTTGTCATTCTCGCAGCTCTTGGCCCCACGGGCAGTAAGAAAATGACCCCTTGCACTCAGTGCCAGTTCTGGAGACCCAGAGACTCCTGACTGCGGCTGGGAGCTTCAGGCTGGAACCCCGGGTGGGGGAAGCAGCTCCCGCAGCCGGTGTCAGGTTTGGATAGAGAGCACCGGTAACAAGCAATAATCAGGGGGGTGTTCTTGGAGCCAGCTGGTGCCCTTCTAACAATGCCTAATTGGTTATCTTTTCTGCTTCCTAAGGTCAGAACATTTTATCTCCGTCTCTGCCCTTTTGGAGTTTACCCCACCCTGCGTTATTTTGTAGGGCAGCCATTGTAGCAGAAGAATAGGCTCTTTCCTCTATAGTCCGGTGACACAATGAGACTTCTTGAAACCTCCTGAATAGACAGAGTGCAACGGCCAAAGAAAAATTCTATTAATGCTTTGCAAAATAAAACATCTGAGAGCCGGTCAGACAAGCAGGAGAGGAAAATCAATACGCAGAGAGCAGCGCTTAGAGAAACTTTTCACCGGTTGCAAAAAGGTGGTGAGGGTACGGGAGGGAGGGGGAGAAAGAAGCTGATTAATGCAGAAAACCCATCAATGGTATGGAAATCTGGCAGAACAGCAAGAGCTGAAACTGGAAGAATTTGAATATACAAAGGGCTGAATAGAATGAGAAAACCACACTGCCTCACACGCTGCCCGTTTCTCACGGTTCTCTGTGAGTCTAACACAAGCGGCTTGTTCGAGCCCTGACCAAGGAGAAATAAGGGACGCAGTCAAGGTAACTGGCAGGAAACCCCGTAGTAAGCAAATTGATCCCTGCTGCAAGGGGAGAAAAAACACAAAGCCTGCAGATGAAACTCAAGGCGTTCGGTAGCGGTGACCCTCCTGCAGTTCACCCCTCACAACGCGGCTCCTGCGCTCGGAAGCTGCTCTGCAAGGAGAGCTCTGCCAGCCGCAGCCCAAAGCCCAAAGCCTCGCTGTGTGCCGCAGGAAGTTTTCTGCAGGGTTGAAGCGGGGCTGCAAGGCCCATCAACTCCCAGACCCGTGCTCCCCCCAGGCTCTCTCCCCCCAGGTCCAGAGTGCCGCAGGGCCGTCTGCCCCACAGCACGGGCACGGTGCTCCGAGGCAGCTCTGACCAGTGCACACTGCTATGGAGGCCGGTGTGAACGGCCGGCGTTACAGTGCTCAACTCGGAGCTGAAAGGGGCTGATGAATCCTACCTAATAACGAGCAACAAATGAGGGAGCGTTTCAGAACAGTGTCTCTGCACTTACAGCAAAGGAAAGAAAGTTGCCACCCAACGCCAGGAGCAAATGGACTCGGTGTGGATCTGAAGGACTTCTCCCCTGCACAGCACACACCATACCAACACCCAATTTAGACCAGGCTTCTTATACAAAGCCCAGGTAATGGGTTTTAGTTTGTTTAACCTTTTTTTTCCAACCTACTTGGGGCTCTGAGAACAGGAAGGGCCAGAGCATTGCTTTAATCACCGCCTGGAAGGAGGAATAAGGACTAAGAGGAGAAAAGAGAAAAAAATGGGGGAGCCAAAGGCTTTAATAATCCTCACAGCTCCAGGCTTATTTAAAATATGCCCAACTAGTTCACAAAGGGATCCACGGAGATAAATCTATTTGATTTTCTTCCACTTTAATGGCGACATATATTTAAAGCAACAAAACCAGGATGACCTAAATAAGACGACTATTAATTGTACTCAGAAAAACTCTGAATTTAATGCTACGGATCCAGCCAGAACTAGAACACACGCTTTTCTTCATTCATTCCTCCCACTTTCCTCTTAAGGATTTTCAACTCCTCTCCTTTGCCCGGGTCCGTCCTGAGCGGTCAGAGATGATCAAACACGGCGCAGCCCATCACCGCTCGCGCCCTAATGAGTGAGAAGGCTGAATCCTCTCTGCGGATGAGAGGCAATTCCGTGAGTTGCCCGAGGACAGCAGTTTCAATCAGCCACCGCAGGCAGCTGAATCTGCCGCAAAATCAGTGAATGCTCAGCCAGAAAACGGCAATGACTCAAACTGGGGATTTTCTGGGAAACTTCACGTCTGGTCTTTTATTTCTGCAACCTGGATTTGGGTGCTGGGCCTCATCAGCTGCACTCAAACCAGAGCTGTCACCGGTTCCCACAGAGACCACCCTGGGACAGCCCAGGACCACCCTGCGCAGGAAGGCTCTGGAGGCACAGCTCCACGTCCCGCACGGCCCTGCAAACCCAGGGGGCAGTGGGAATAAATGCAGCCACTGTGGCTGCTGTTATTTACAGGGTGTCTGCGTGCAGGCACGGGGATGACAACAGCCCCTATTTCATGTTCCCAAGTTCTTTTTTTTTCCCCTTTGAATCAAGTTTGCTCATTCGGTGCAACCTCCACGGAGAAACCACTGACTTTCACAGCTCTAACCGACACACAGCAGCCTTTATTCCTCACATCTCCTCATCCAGTCCTGGCAAGTCTGTCCTGATCCAAAAGCTGAGTTCCTGACATATCCTGTGCAGGTGGGGACCCCCCCTGTTCCCAGGAAGCACAGCAGGGCTGGGCTAGGGCTGCTCTGAGCTCTGCAGCCCCGCAGGGAAAAGCTTTGGGGCAGAGAAATGAAGCAACGCACTGCAACCTAGCGCTGTGCCCGTTCACACGAGGCCCTAGGAGAACAGCAACTACACAAGGATGACACTCAGTGACATGTGTTGTGCTGTGTTCCTATCCCTCTGTCCCAGGTCTGCAAACTGTACAGGTCTGTCATCTTCAGCAATCCTGAGTCAGAGCGCCGGACATTCTTGTCCAATTCCTCAAATTATTTACACACACTGCACAACTCCTACAATATTTTGCTTCCAGAAGCAGAAAAGCCTCTTAGCTGCTAGTAAACTGTCAGGTGCTATTATTTTAAATGTGCATGTGAAATCTGAGTGCCAGCAACGCGCTCCTGCTGATGCACAGCCTCCCCCCGCACAAACTGAGACAGATACCTACTGCACGTCAGAAAAAAGTTCCCCCAGCGCAGGCCCAAACCTGTGACCACGACCCCGTTCCCGGCAGCCGTGGCTGCGTGGCAGCAGAATGGCACCCGTGGCGCATGGCACATTTGTGCACACCTGGGGGCCGGGCGCACGCGGTGCGGTTCCTCACTGCGCGCATCCTGACGTCCCCCAGCGACATCGCACCAACCCACGGCCCGCGCCTCGTGCACCGCGCAAACCATCGACGCCACGCTGCGCGACAGCAAATTCCAGCACTAGCAATCTTTCCCCCCAGCAGTCAAGTCTTTAAAAAGTCTTCTTTGGCAATTACAGCTAATAAAACTACAATTTCATTCAACACACACACATCATCGTAACTAATTTTGCTCCGTCAGGGCTGAAATTAAAACAGTCATTCAATCACAGCAATCCCAGGGCTCGCCCACCAGCCGGGGCGCAGCGAGGCGCTCCCAGCCCCCAGCAGCGCCGTGCACTCCGTGCTCCCACGCGAGGCCGAGGCGCTGCTCAACACGCGCTCTCCCAG